GGGATTGGGGGAAGGGGTGGAATGAGGTAGGGATAGGGATTGGAAGAAGGGGTGGAATGAGGTAGGGCTAGGGATTGGGGGAAGGGGTAGAACGAGGTACGGCTAGGGATTGGGGGAAGGGGTGGAATGAGGTAGGGATAGGGATTGGAAGAAGGGGTGGAATGAGGTAGGGCTAGGGATTGGGGGAAGGGGTAGAACGAGGTACGGCTAGGGATTGGGGGAAGGGGTGGAATGAGGTAGGGATAGGGATTGGAAGAAGGGGTGGAATGAGGTAGGGCTAGGGATTGGGGGAAGGGGTAGAACGAGGTACGGCTAGGGATTGGGGGAAGGGGTGGAATGAGGTAGGGCTAGGGATTGGGGGAAGGGGTGGAATGAGGTAGGTCTTGGGATTGGGGGAAGGGGCACAATGAGGTACGGCTAGGGATTGGGGGAAGGGGTGGAATGAGGTAGGGATAGGGATTGGAAGAAGGGGTGGAATGAGGTAGGGCTAGGGATTGGGGGAAGGGGTAGTACGAGGTAGGGCTAGGGATTGGGGGAAGGGGTGGAATGAGGTAGGGCTAGGGATTGGGGGAAGGGGTGGAATGAGGTACGGCTAGGGATTGGGGGAAGGGGTGGAATGAGGTAGGGCTAGGGATTGAAGGAAGGAGTGGAGGAGAAGCAGAACCAAGGTCGGGGCAAGTCGAGCACCTCCCAAGTGAGAGGGAAGATGAGCGCCAGTGGACATGTAACCCTGTGGGGAGTGCTCAGGATAGGGCTACACTGAAGTTAGACACTCGCTCGGGCTCGCGGGACTAGGGCTAAGGGAACTTTTAATTGCAGAAAAGATGTTTCATTGCAGAGAAGACGCTTGGGCACAGGCTGGACCCTGGGCTCTGGGACACTATAAACATCTAGCGAAACAGCCCCTTAGCCCAAGCCCCCCAACGCTGAGCTCATAGGCAGTGGCCAGCCACAGGTCTTCCATTGCTCTGGGACACCACAGCCACGTGTCCCACACTCGCCAGCCAGTGGCCCGAGTGAGCTCTCTAGCGCCATCTATTGATGAACTGGAGGAAAAGGTCTCGCGAGCTGGCCTTATTTGCATAAAAGCTTCAGAGGGGTAGCCGAGTTAGTCTGTAACTGGAAAAACGTTAAAAACAACGAATAGTCCTGCAGCACCTTAGAGACTAACACAACATGTAGCTGGTCTCCGAAGAAGTGGGTTGTGCCCACCAAAGCTCACGATTCCATCTACATGTTTTGTTGGTCGTTAAAGTGCTGCTAGACTATTCCTTATTTGCATAGACACACCTCCTGTGCCATTGCTGGCTCTTTGGGATTAAAATTCATGCAAGACATGGAGATGGGGATAATGAAACAGGAATATCCCCATCGGGCAACCGAAGGACAGCAGAATGGTCCTTACGGGGCCCTGATTGAAGGAGGTCAGCATGACTGAGTCTTGCCGCTAGCTGTGAGGTAGGGAGCCAATGCCACATAAACTGGAGGTTTGTATCCAAGAGTCGGGACGGGGGAGGGGGTTAAGTTGGGATTTTGAGTGCTTGAAAGCAAAGCTGAGGAGTCCAAGTGACCCCTAGAGATAAACTCCCCAAGGTCTGGGCTATGCTATAAATGTAGGTCTGTATGCCGAGGGGTGTGAAAAATTCACACCCTATAGAGGTCTAGCTCCACTGACCTAGCTCTCCCCACCCCCAGACAGCAGAGGTCCATGAAAGAATTCTTCCATTGACCTTCAGGGAGGTGGGTTACTTACACTGATGGGAGATCCCCCCTCCGATCGGTGCAGGTAGCGTCTACACAGCAGCACCGGACTGTTTTAAGTGGAGACCTACTCTGATAAACTGATGTCGGGGACCGAGTCTCAGGGCACGTCTACACCTAAAGCACGTGGGAGGCGTTCTCCTGTCAGCAAAGGTAATCCAGTAGCTAGGTCGGCGGCAGGACAGTTTCAGTGTACCAGGGGATGCTGTGGTTCATTGCATGCAGGCTGGGTGCTTTGAGTGGAACCTGCTACCATGGGAGAATTCGTCTTTGCCCAGTTCCCAGGTGGAGACTCAGACTGCTTCTTTCTTGTAGCATCCAGAGGGACCCCTGGATACTGACCTCAGCCCCTGTTGATGCCAACACCCCCCCCACACACACACTTCTTATTCCCACACCATGCCCTCATATCCTCCTCCACCCCCTCCTCATTGCCTCTAAATTAAGCTAGAGTCTTTCTGGAGATTCCTCCTCCCTGAAGGGCTGCAGCCCCTCCTCCTCCCTATGCTCTCCCCACTAGCCCCATGTGTGACCCAGGGGCCGTCGCTCGGTGGGTTGTTAAAACCAGGTGCCAGCGCAGCTCCAAGCCTGCAAGGAGGGGCAGGGACTAAGCATGGAGGAGCAGGGACCAAGGGCCTCAGCCAGAACTTTGGATAATACACATGGGGATGCTCTGCCCTGACCCTCCCAGGGCCAGTGCCCTGCCTCAGCCCCCCTTGACCAGCACTGACTCACTGATACCCCCAAACCTGTGGCCCCACAGCCGTTTCCATGAGGGGCAGGCATGGGAGGGAGGAGCCAAGGGGCACAACCGGCTTTTCCTAGAAGTGCGAGGGTGGGGCATGCAGCTAACGTGTCGGCCAAAGCAGCTGGGAGAGGCTGGCACAGCGCAGCTGGGAGGCGCTGGCTGGGGCCGTCTGCCTTTCGGCTCTGGGCCGAGTGCGCTGCCGGGCCGGGGGAGGAGAGGGCTGGAGGAAAGGAGATTCAGACGGGTGCAGGGAAAGCAGATGTGAGGGGGAGGGGCAGGAAGGGGGGCAAGGGAGCTAAGGGAGAGGGAAGGCCCTGGATGATGGGGGCTGCTGGGGAAAATGAAAGGGAAAATTAAGAGCCAAGAGCAGCAGGGAGGAGGGAGGGAGAAGTTGTATGTGCAGGGGGGTGGGGCGTGTCAATGCAAAAGGCCAAGAAGACACGAGGTGGCTGTACCTGCATTTGCCGCTCAGTGCCATTTGCCCCACCCTCAGCCACAACTGTAGGGCCGCAGGGCCTCCATGCAGGATGGGGCAGAGGGGGCAGGCAAGGGAGGCCAGCAGGGAGAGGGGTCTGGCTGTCAAGGCCTGAACCAGCCCAAATCTGCTGCGGGATTTGCCCCTCAGCCCGGAGCCAGGGGAACTGCACGGGCTGAGCTCAGCTGGTCCAGGCTCGCCCTGGGCACAGTACCCCTCCCCCAGGGACGGCCCCTCTCTGACTTGCCAGGCTTTGGCAGTGGGAGGGAGGGGAGTCTGGCCCCACTGCCGCCCCCTGGGAAGGAGGAGGTCACAGGGCCCTGGATTCCAGACATGAGACCCAAAGACCCAAGTGCATTTGGAGACTCAGGAACAGTCTTGCAGAGATGGAACAGGGGGTGCCCCTGGTCCTGGGGAAGGCCAGGCTGCCAGGTCATCCCTCTCAGGGTGCTGGCACATTGCTGGGAGCCAGCGGGCTCCCCTCCCTTGTTTTCACTGCCTTTGGAGGGCCTCACCCAACCCAACTCCACAGGGCTTTGCCCCAAATGCCCTCAATACATGTGGGTCTCCCATGGGGGCAGCAATGGCAAAAAGCAGGGGGCAAGGGGTCGCCCTGGGTCTGCCCCTGTCCAAGCCAGCTCTGCTGATCCCTTGATGCATTCCTAGCACAGGCTCTGGCTCACCCTGCTCTGCTGGGATGGAGGCCCGGCCTGGGACTGGAAGTCAGGACTCCTGGGTTATGTTCCAAGCCCTGGCACTGCAGTCCTCTGAGCCCTGGTGTAAGTCATGGCCCCTCTCCATGCCTCAGTTTCCCTACCTCTCCACTGGGGGTGGCGACACTGCTCCTCCTTCAGGGAGGGCTTTGAGATCTCTGGGCGAAAAGCCCTGCTCCATGCCAAGAGCCAGCCTGCCCAGAGCAGGAAGCAGGGACTTGCTTGGGTCAGACGGGGCACTCGGCTCTCCCAGAGGCTGCCTGGATACAGTGGAAGCCAGGAAATCAGCACTGCCAAGGCTCCTGGCCTCCACAGCACTCTGGAGATAGTTGGAGTTTTTCTTAAAGCTCCAGGTCCAGGAGTCATGTGGTTTGGGGTGAGAGTTACCTTCCAGCCCTCCTGATTCCAGGGCAGCCTAGGGCCATGATGCAGGGGGCAGAGGAGAGGACCTAGCAGTCAGGAGATTATTTTTCTGCAATGTCATGATTTTCTGTGGCCCGATTTCTGAATGTCTGGGGCTGGCAGAGCCACCCGGATTTGTCTCTAGGAGGATCCCAGCCTGGGCTGGCTGCGTGTCCTGGGCAAGGCACCCATCAATCTCCAGGCCAGCTCCTGACACAGAGTTACGAACAGTCAAAAAAAACCCCACTGTAAACGGGGCAAATTGCCAACTTCATGCTGCAAGGCTGGGCCCGCCGCCAGCCGTTTCTTGTTCCCACCTCCCCCTCCCAATTTCATTTTTAATTTAAAAACAAAACCAAACAACAACAAAAAATTAAAACAATTCGCTCTGCCAGGGGTAATTGCGTCAAGCCGCAGCAGATTGCAAAAAAAGTGTACTCCACTTCCATGGGATGTGACAGCCAATGGGGGCTGAGCCGCTCTCCAGACAGCTGTTAAAAGGGGCTCCCGCGCTGAGGAGCAGCCAGAGAAACTAAGAAAGAAAGAAAACCAACCTCAAGCTTGCAGGGATTTGCAGAGGGCTGTGAACTGGGACAGGGTTTCTAGAGGGAATAACTCAGCATCTGTGGAGACTTTTCCTTCTATTTCTTTGCCAAAAAGAGAAAACAAAACTTTTTTTCCCCCCAACCCAGATTTGAAAACTCGAGCACAGCAGCAGCCGGGGCTCCGCAAAGTCTCCCTGCCGTTTGCTGAAGAAACTATTCCGTGGAAGGGCTGGGCCTTGAAACAAAAGAGCTGAGAAGACTTTTTTTTTAATAAGCTATTTGG